GGTGCAGGCAGACTGCACGCCTTGCCGCAAAAATGACTGTGCTTGGCCTGAGAGGGCCGGTATATCTGATGTTATTCTGTGAGACGGAAGCCTGTTTGCGGGCATGCCTAGAGCACGACATATCCCCCGGGCCGCCGGCCAGGAGTCGCAGTCCGTGATCCTATGGATGGTGGAGCTGTTCAGAGCTACATTGGACAAGGCCGGTACCTTTTGGAAGGATTGCCAATGTCCACCTGGGCCTACCTTGGCCAGCCAAAAGGTTGTCAAGTCTCGAAACACCTTCAGGACGGCATTGAATTCATGAAACCCTTCCTATTTCTAGGAAGGGTTTATAAATCTGGGGTACCCCATTGCTTTGAAGACTTGTTGCCTGACCTGTTTTTGCAACCATCCGCTCTCCTACTTACCATTGTCCCCTTCCCAACAGAACAGCGGCAGAATTGCCTAACCGTGTGTAGGCAGCCTGTGGAGGCTTGAGTTGCGAAGCCTTGAGTAGGCAGTTGCGCAAGCGGTAGTGCATTAAAGTCCAAGTTGCGGGAGCGGATTGTGCTGGCTTCGCATTGGCATTTTGTAAGCTTTCAGAATGCTAATTGCAGAAATTGCACACGCTGCAGGGCGGAGCTCATTGCAAGCTGGAATAGGATGGAGGAAGAGGTGAATGTTCACTCTCGACCTGCGTGCAGGATATGCATTTTTACTCGTTTGTTCTGGGCTCTTTTGGGTATGGGTCAAAATTAAACCACTAGGGGACCGCAGGTTTTAGCCCATGTGTCCATTTATCAGGGTTCCATGCTGGGTACCTATTATTATTATTCTTATTATTATTATTATTATACTTATTATTATTATGGTGATCATCATTACTATTGATCCACAGCCTTTTGACCCATTGGCGAGGCTACATGGCGGTGCTCAATAACTGCAGCCAAGCGCATGGCCCGCCGCTGCCAGTGGCGCGATTGCTGGGCCTGGGTCTCGGGTCCCAAGGTCTTCGGGTCTCGCGCAGCTTTGGTCACCGCGGGGTTTTGCTGTTGCCGAACAGTCTTTGGGCTATTTGGCCATGGGTCAAAACCCAAATCGCACCCCCAGTGAACATCCCAATCCCCACTAAAATAGGTTCTAAAATGGGTAGTGCACCTATCCCAAAATGGGATCCCATTGGTTTTGACCCACAGCCATTTCGCTTTGGCTGGAAGCGTTGTTTGCTTTGGCCGCAACACTGCTTTGCTTTGGCTGGAAGTGCTCGGCCGCGCTACGGGCCACGTTGACACAAAAGCGCAAAACTGAGGCGTGAAATCGTGCAGAGACACCTGTACCATTTGCAGATCCAAAGGGTGTCAGGCAGGAATTGCATGTGACAGCATTAGGATGGCCCCCAGTGGTCATTTGAAGGTGTTGCGCAAATTGAAGGATACTTTGCCCCGTCAATTCTGATTCAAAGCATATTCTGAGTCGACATTTGTGGCCCCATGTCAATATAAACTAATCAGCGACCAGGATAGTCCCAGATATTTCTGCACTTGAAAGGCCTGCGATGAATGCTGCGTGCATGTGGACAATGACCAGTCCGCATCAGTATTGCTGGGCATTCAGGAGGAGAATCCAGCCGCTTGGATTTCCATTTTGCCGGGGCCAGCGCCAGGGTCACATTTGGTGGTGGCGACATTCTGCGTAGTGAGGCGGCTTGAGTTGTGCCCTGATGTGCCTTGTGCTTGAAAAGCGACCATGGTTCCCCAACACACCAACGGCCGAGAGTGAGGCAGGATGAAGTGAAGGGAAAGCTGCCCCTGAAATGTTGCCGCAATGTGTCCCCCCCCCCCCCAATCCAATCCAAAACTTGTTGGTTTTTGCAAGATGCCCCCTGGCCTATGCCTAGATTGTGAACGAGATGGCCTTCTTTGTGATGGGCAGCAAGGCATTTCCCCTCGTGACCTGGACAGCAGATTCAGAACTGCGTGCTTAGCTTGACGCTTGTTGTTTCTTTGCTGAGCACACGCGGCTGGAACAATGACTTGGGTAGTGTTAAAACTGGGCAAGTTTTCAGGGATAGAAGCACCAGCATGAACCCAAGCATGTGGAGGGTGGTTGACGCACACAGCCACTTTGCCCAAAACAGAAGTCATTTTACATTTGGGGCAGGTGTCTCGAAAACTAAAGTGCACAGATTGGGCATGCGCTCGACTCAAGGCAGGTGGCCGGGCCTTCCTGTTTGACGGCAAGGTGGTGCCGCATGGCGTTTGGTGCATGCGAGGGCAATATCAAGGCAGGACTCGTCCGCCCACCGATTGAGAGTAGGGCTGGCACTGCCCCTACATGCAGTGAGCAAGGAGCAACAAACTTACTGTACTCCATGTTGTTTACTCATGGATCAACCTACAACTTGGCCCGAAGAACCTCTTTTGTCATCAACACATTTGCCAATATCTATTCGAGCGTCTTTGAAAGCTGCATTCGGCCTCGTCTAATCGCGCTTTTCAACATGCCAGCTTCGTGATTATTTTTGTGTACGATGGCGATGATGATGATGATGATGATGATGATGATGATGATGATGATGATGATGATGATGGCGATGATGATGATGATGATGATGATGATGATGATGATGATGATGATGATGATGATGATGATGATGATGATGATGATGATAATGCTGGTGGTGGTGGTGGTGGTAGTGGTGGTGGCGGTGGTGGTGGTGAGGATGAGGCTGAGGATGACGGTGATGCAATGACGTTGGTGACAGTGACAGTGAGGACGATGACGGTGATGACGACGCTGGCGACGACGTCCATGATGGTGATGATGATGATGATGATGATGATGATGATGACGATGGCGGTGTTGACAAGGACAGTTCTTCGGTGATGACGACGACGGTGATGATGACGCTGCCGATGACGTTGATGACGAGGATGACGATGGCAATGACTATGATGGTGATGGTGATGGTCATGGTGATGGGTGGTCGTGGTGGTGGTGGTGGTGGTGGTGGGGGTGGTGGGGGTGGTGGGGGTGGTGGTGGTCATGCTGATGACAATGACGGTCGTGGTGATGACGATGTCGGTAGGTGGCGACGACGATGACGATGACGATGATGATGATGATGATGATGATGAATATGATGAATGATGATGAATGATGATAAATGACGATGATGATGATGATGATGATGATGATGATGATGATGATGATGATGATGATGATGATGATGACGATGACAACGCTGACGATGACGATGACGATGATGATGAATGACGATGATGATGATGATGATGATGATGATGACGATGACAACGCTGACGATGACGATGATGATGATGATGATGATGATGACGACGACGATGATGATGATGACGATGATGATGATGATGACGACGCTGACGGCGGTGGGATGACCATGACCATCTAGCATGCCAGCACATGCTTTGCAAAGAAACGAGCGCAGCATGCGTCGCAGCAGGCATGGCCTTCGTTAAGAAGGTGCCTTACCAACGGCGACTTCGTCGAAAGTCTTGAGTTTCGGTGCAAGGCTGGCTTATGAGCTGCAGCTGAGCATGATGTTTGGTGTGGAGCCGGAATGGTTTGTGTCAACAGGTTGGGGGAATGCATGCTTTGCAACACGATGTCAATGTTGCTCTCGTGTTTGTATGTTGCTCAGCAACTTCCTACATGATTCCCCCTGGTTGTATTGACATGATAGAGTGACTTCTTAGCACACGCATATTTGAAGTGCATGCGTTGAAGAAACTTGTGACCGACTGCAACTGCAACGGGCATGTAAACAGGTATGGTTGCTTTTGTTTTGAAGCTGCGGTTCCGTGAGGGTTTTGAAGCTGGCATGAATTTGTATTGACTTCTTGTGCGTGCATTTCCGTGGGTGGAAAATCATTGAAAGCTTGCCATCATCCATGCATTTGCCTTTTTGTTGCTTTACAGGGGACACAATTTTGCTGTGACTTGCGCGGCAGGCTGCTCAGCGGATTCTGCGGGGCGTTCTTGGCGGGGTCCTGCGAATTGTACACACTGTGAGCGGCATGCATGCTTTTCGAGATGTCACGTTGTTGAGCAGTTCCCGAGATGTTCAAAGGCTCTGAATGCGTGGGCGCGGAGGCAAATCCCAAAGTGTCACCGCATGCGGCCACTTGGAGTAAAGCTTTCTGCCAGAAGAGGCTTTGCCAAGCTTTAGTTTGTCAAGCAGACTACGTTTCCTTCATTTGCCACTTACCTGGCAAAGATGCAAGATGACGCAATACGGATCGCCTGACAAAGTCTGACATTTGATGGCATGGCCAACAAACAATCGGCCTGCCCAAAGCAGAAGGGAATCCGGACCCAGGCAGTGGCAGGTTCAGAGCGGTTGAGCCACATTGCAGCAGAGTGGCCTGCCATCTGGAGACTTTTGCTTTGAGGTTTCGGGCAGTGCTCGGCTGCCTAACTTTTTGAACGCGGCCCACATGAACCATGTGGCTGTGAGAGGGAGAGAGAGGGAGAGAAAGGGGTGGGCGTTTGCCCATAGTTCCTTGGCCTGCTTTTGTACAGGAGTTGGTGCTGAGGTGCGAGGTGTATCAACACATGAGCAGCGCCCAAAACCTCCTTTTACCTGGTTTCAAAACCTCTTTTTGCCTGGTTTCATAGGGTTATAGTAAGGCTCATATAAACCTTTATATCCAGCTTATTAGAACCAAAAGTCAATGGGTTTTGGGCACAGCTTACACACGGATGATTCAAAGAGCCGTCCTTAAACAAATGATTTCTGTGTTCATTTTGCTTCGTCACCAGCCATGACTCGACCCAACTCCGACCAGGCATCAAAGAATACTGGGCGCAGAGAAAGAGCAGTGCACGGTCGGCGATCACGTCCCAGTAATGATTGAATAGTCGCCACGTAGCTGGTCATTTGTTGTCATGAAGTTTTAACGAACACAGAGCGCAACGGTCCATCCCCGTCTGCTTTTTGCGCATCCATTTCAGTTTATCGCAGGAAGTTCGCCACGTGCCAGGCAGCGCCACATTCACTCCTGCGCTTGGCGCAGTGTAGCTTGGCTTGGGAGAAGGGCTGTGCGGTACTGCGGAGCGAGCTGCAGAGAAATGGAAGACATGCCAAGGCCCCTTAAGTGCCAGGGCCATCGTGAGAAGGCTGACAGGCGCAACACAAAGACAATGCGCCCAGGAAAGCGTCTGAATCACATGGCACAAAACGAAGAAGCATGGTGAAGAGAATCCAATCTTGATTGCACTCATCTTCGCTCGCCTCAATTGCCTTGCTTGACACCTATGCATACGAAAACCCCCAGATTCATGCACTGCGTTCCAACGAGGCCTGCCCAAGGAGTTGCCTGCAGGGCTGCAGGCTTTGCCTCCTGAGGCGTCGCCGTTTCCAACGCAGTGAACGAATGCAATCGAATTATGTTAACCCCGGATTAAGCAGAACCCCTGGTTGATTTTGATAGGGGGGTGTCCCCTTTTAGTGGGGATTCAGACCACTTTTGGAGGAAACACCCGACGGGTTTATCAATCCTGCGTCAACCTTACCGTCGTGTGGCCGTGCGCAGCAAAAGCAGTTGAACTGTGCTGCTTGCTTGCAACCTTGTGGGCCAGCAAAGTCTTTGAGCAATCCACGGCTAACATGTGTTGGCGCCAGCAGCGGCTTTTGGATGTTCGTGAGGCTTGTGAAACACCAATGATTACTTGCAGCCTTTTCCCAGCAAGAGATGTTGAACATCATGCCAACCACATTGTTTTGTGCCAGTCAAAACTCAACCACGCGTATTGCTCAAACATTGGCAGCAGCAAAGGCTGATGAGCACATTTTGCAGACTCATTGTTTTGTGCCAACATCGGCTTTTTCAAGTCGCAGCTTATGGAACAATTTTGGGCACAACAAAACTCTCTTGAGAAGCACACGTCAAGAGAAATGCCAGTTGCTCACACTTGAAAAAAGACAGCTGAACTCTTGTTTTGGCTACAACACGCCAAGCAACTCAAAACGTACCAACAAGACTGATCATCGACAATACAAAAGACATTGGCGTCGGCAAAAGCTCACCCCAAATTTGGAACTCCCTCAGCGGAACTGATTTACTTTATCCGAAGCCGCAGAAAGATAGATCGTTCCACATGATGCAGGGCGTTCTATCCACGCTGTGACTGGCCCCGGTTTTCACGTCATGCCACTGGCCAGGCGCGGCCGCGAAGCTTGAGGCGTGAGCACATGGCAACGTGCGGGCTTCTCACAGAGGAAAGCTCCAGTGGCATTGTTCTTTTGGCAATGGGATGTCCAAGAAGGGATTGTTTCGAAAACTTCCAGGCTGGGCCGCCCAAGTCAAGTCGAGCAGCATGAGGGAGGCAAACTCAGCAAAGGTTTCGGTTTGCAGCTGTCCCTGCTCTGAGAAGTTCTTGGGTGTCCTTCAAGGGGCTGATTGAGTGCAGATGTGTTCCAGGATTAGCTGGGTGTGTCAACCAGAAAAAGGGACACCCTGAAAATATATCCCAGCTGGGTTGAGTGCTTTTCGAAAGGTTGCTGCGATTCCGAGTTTCACAGAGCCGACTGCCACGCTGGGCTGGGCAGCTCAGTGGATTGATTCTGGCATTTTCCGGCGCTCTTGAGGGATGTGGGTGCTGTGTCAGGGAATCGTTCTGGCTTGTTCGAACACACACACACACACCCACACCCACACTCTGACCGAACTTGAGTTGCGGCATATGCTGAATGTTTAATTCCACTTTGGCGCAAGATTTGGGATTGGTTGTGGGGCGCTGCCCAAACCACCAAAACTAGCCCAAAACTCGCGCAAGCACATCCCTAAAGCAACCCTAAAGCCACTGCTAAACCAGCCGCACACCTCCAACCAACACCGACCCAAAGTCAACCTTAAGCCCTCCCAGCAGCATCCGCAATATCAGCCCTTTGCCTGGCCTAAATGAACCCCAAACAACCCGACCCGCCCTCATTGAGACTTCAGCAAGCCCAACACTCACCCAAGGCCAGCCCCGAGCAACTCTGAGCTGCCACCAAATCAAAGCCAACCCGACCCCCAGCTTGGCCAACAGGCCTTGAGAGATATCCGCCTGTTGCCCCCTAAACTGAGAGTGAAGCAAGGGTTCCCAGCTAACCTCTTTGGAGGCGCATGAGGGAGGCCTTGTGCTGAGCCGGCGCTAGCAAGAAGCCGGGGCTAGCTAAAAAACAAACTCAACTTCACTCAGGCCTGGCGCACACATCCAACTGTTGTGCTGCTTTGGGTGCCGGCCTAAGTTGAACAGCCGCGGATGCGTTCGGATGCATCAGGCCTGGTGCTGTTGTGACAGATTCTACTCCCTGCCTTCCGCAGATTTGCCCAAGCATGTGCGGAGATTAGATGAACACAGTCGAAGACAGCAGATGCGTCCCATTCAGCCGGAACTGCAGCCAGGGATGCGCCACAGCCGGGCAAGGTGGATATCAAGCTAGCAACGACAAACGCGTTGTGAGCAAGTCATTCGATTTGTTCGCAAGACATGCTAGCTGCCATGATGCTTCCCTACAACGACTTTCGCTGGGAGGGAGCATTTGCTTCAGATTGGAGATGGCCTGTAGGCAGCGTCGTCATCTACTTGGCCGTGGTGGGTGTCCTTGGAGTGCTGATGAGAGACTCAAAGGCGTTTGACCTTCGGCAAATCACAGCTTCTCGGCTTATTTCGATATGAGCTGTGAGTAGTGTCCAACACGCCAAATGTCTCGGGGCCTTGTCGCCTTCCGTGATTCATTGGATGACCAAGGTTTTCCACAACCTTATCCTGTCTCTGGGCTCCCTCATCATGTTTCTGGGCACTTGCCTGGAGTTGCTGCAGCGATGGTTGTCCTCTGGTCACGCTGACTGGTTCTTCTGTGAGGATCCAAAGATGAAGGCGGTGGGGCCATTGTACTTCTGGTCTTATGTCTACTACCTCAGCAAGTACTACGAGATGTTTGACACAGTGTTGGTTCTGCTTCAGAAGAGCTTTGACCAAGCAAATGCGGGTGGTCTGGCCATGCAAACCTTGCTCGCATCCATTTTCAACTGTTCTTCAGAGGATGTTTCTGTTCGTGCCAACAGTTCTGCACCTGAGTGGTGCTTTTTCCTTTTGGCCTCCTTTTGGCCCCTTTTGGCATCCAAAAGGAAATCTCTTTTTCGAACGAATCAAACTTGGAGCCGTTTTAATACTCATTTCCGTTGGGAGTCGGGCACGAGGAGTCGCGTGCCCCACTTCAAGCTGCAGGTGTATCACCACGCAGCCGTGGTTCCCATGGCCTGGCTTTGGTGCGAGTATCAGCAGTCACTGCAGTGGGGCGGGCTCCTCTTCAACACCTTGGTCCATGTGATAATGCAACTTGGAACTTGCTTCTGGGGTCATTATTTTGACGGTTTCAAGTAAGACATGTCTAGAAGCAAGGCACGGATTTATACTACCAAAGTCAGAAAGACACTTCTCGTTATTTTGACGGCTTCTGGGGGTTAAAGTCAGAACATGGAGGTTGCTTCCCTTTGAAAAACTGAGGGGGTGACTTTGACCATGGTAGAAGAATGAGGCCAGTACTTCCAAAAGTAAAAAAGCGAATCTACCTGAGGAAACAAATGTGGTTTCCAGGATTTGGTCCATAGTCAATTCACCTGTTACTGTTCTTGGCACATGGGCCGTGTGTCGGCTCTCCAGAGCAACCGGACGTCCGAGGGCACAAATGGCGCCCCACAAAAATGCGCACAGCTTACTTGGCCCAAAGCCAGTCGCCAGGCTTTTGTGTTCTTTCTGAGCGCTTGCGCTGGCCGTTAGTTTTTGTGTTGCGTCGCTGCGTCGCTCAAAACCTCCAGCAGTAGGCGGCTAGAAACAAAATGCTGCTCTACCAATGGGGGTACAGGTGCGACTTGACACGCACAGACACACAGACACACAGACACACAGACACACAGACACACAGACACACAGACACACAGACACACAGACACACAGACACACAGACACACAGACACACAGACACACAGACACACAGACACACAGACACACAGACACACAGACACACAGACACACAGACACACAGACACACAGACACACAGACACACAGACACAGACATGTCTCATGAAGCCTGGCCTGGTCACACCACTTTTTGTTGCGTGTGTTTTTGTGCATGCTTATGATGATCGATCAAGCAGCCATACCATCGCTTTTTTGGTGCTGCCTGGGAGATCTCTTCGACGGTGTGATGGCTTGCTGATTGTATCAGCAGGACTGATTTGTTGACCCAGTGCAATACTGTCGCACTTTCTGTTTCTCGCCAAAAATTGGCCGCAATATGCCTGCACCTGGCTTTGCCTGGACAAAGGAGCACTTTTAGAAGACCATTTCAGTGGCGTTTTGTCTAAGATCCTGCGTTGGTCGGATTGCACCATTAGTATTTTAGTGCTTCAGAAGGTTCAAAGCAGTGGTTCAGGGAGTTAGAGCAGCAGCCCACAGGAGGTTTCATGTTTGAACTTCCAGCTTTGAAATCATGTTGGCTCACGATGTGCAGGTTGACTTACAAGTTGATTGTGGTGCAAGCTGAGGTATCACTATTATGCCATGAAAGCTGCCGAGCGGCCGACACCATGGAAGAAGTGGATTACCAAGTTGCAGACACTGAGCATGCAATCAGCATTGTTTGAGGCTATCTTTCAAGCAACTACCGAGCTTTCCTAGTATCCTGTTTATCTGAGGATTGTGCAATTCGCCACAAGCTTCGCGCTCCTGGCGGTGACGCTGCGCCGCTACAGCCAGGGAGCGGACTGTGCAGGAATGAATGCCTTATTTTACAACTGCATTTTCAATGCAACTCTGCTGGTGCAATTCGTCAGCGTGGACAAGCGCAACAAGGATCACGCAAAGACGAAGTGAGGCCAAAGAAAGGCCAGAAGATTTCCCGATGGCTGCGTGACTCGTGCCATGTGGCAATCTTGCCATTTGGCTGAGCGCCTTTTCCGCGTCGTCGATGCTGCATCTGCAACGCGGCCGTGGATCCTCCGCGCCACACCTAATCCATCAATGCCGTCCGTACCTGGCCTTGTGAAGTTGGGCATTCGAGTGATAGAATGTCAGACCGAGGGCAGAATGCTTGCCTTCAGAGGCCAGGTTTCGATGCAATTTTCAGGTTGTGTAGTAAAAGCATGGTGTTTTTCTCTCAACCTCTCATTCGATGTCCTCGATCCTGATCTTTTCCCAGTCTCCCTGACTTCAACCTCAGCAGCAAAGCATCCCCAACGGGTGTTTTGTTTTCCTTGCCTTCAAGTCCCACATGAGCCCAAAACTCCCCATTTACCATTTTAGCAGGTGGTTCTACTACCTGGTCTAAAACAAAATCATAGTCGTACCTTACTGACCAATCCATATAAACCTCACTGACCAGTCGTAGTACTACTACCTATATGCAACGTCAGCAGAACCAAACGTCTCGGGTTTGGTCGCCATGGAAGTCTTGGCTCAGCGTCACCCGAGCCCGGATCCAGGTGCGTGCCTCTGGGCGGACAGCTGCGCGGCCGCAAACGCTGCGCCCGCAGAGGTCTCAGGGAAGGGCAGGGCGGGTCTTTTTCCCAAAAGCATCTCTGATGCTTGGGTTCTGCTTTAGGTTTTCTCTTAAGGTGCCTGGGAGCGATACAAGCTGTGACGACGGAGATAAGAAGGGATTTCCATTTCGTTGTGCTGCAGACCGGGCGTGCGATGCCGGCTGGGGGCGCAGACCGGGCGTACGAGGCTGGCTGGGGGGACGGCGGTGTGGGGCTGGCTGGGTGCGCGAGACTGGCGCGGTGGACGCTCGTGACAAGCGGAAACCGCCCCCAAGCGAGACGGGCGCGGGGCACGCTCGTGACAGGCGGAAGCCGCCCCCGAGCGAGACTGGCGCGGTGGACGCTCGGGACATGCGGAAACCGCCCGCGAAAGAGACTGGCGCGGCGGACGCTCGTGACAAGCGGAAGCCGCCCCCGAGCGAGACGGGCGCTCGTGACAGGCCGAAAGCGAGACGGGCGCGGGGGACGCTCGTGACAGGCCGAAACCGCCCCCGAGCGAGACGGGCGCGGGGGTCGCTCGTGACAGGCCGAAACCGCCCCCGAGCGAGACGGGCGCGGGGGACACTCGTGACAGGCCGAAACCGCCCCCGAGCGAGACTGGCGCGGGGGACGCTCGTGACAGGCCGAAACCGCCCCCCAGCGAGACTGGCGCGGGGGACGCTTGTGACATGCGGAAACGCTCGTGACAAGCCGAAACCGCCCCCGAGCGAGACGGGGAGCGGGGGACGCTCGTGACAAGCGGAAACCGCCCCCGAGCAAGACGGGCGCGGGGGACGCTCGTGACAGGCCGAAGCCGCCCCCGAGCGAGACGGGCGCGGGGGATGCTCGTGACAGGCCGAAACCGCCCCCGAGCGAGACGGGCGCGGAGGACGCTCGTGACAGGCCGAAACCGCCCCCGAGCGAGACGGGCGCGGGGGACGCTCGTGCTGGCGCGGTGGGCGCTCGTGACATGCGGAAACCGCCCGCGTGCGGAAACCGCCCGCGAGCGAGACTGCCGCGGTGGACGCTCGTGACATGCGGAAACCGCCCGCGAGCGAGACTGGCGCAGTGGCCGCTCGTGACATGCGGAAACCGCCCCTGAGAGAGACAGCGAGACTGGTGCGGTGGACGCTCGTGACGTGCGGAAACCGCCCGCGAGCGAGACTGGCGCGGTGGCTTGTGACAGGCGGAAACCGCCCGCGAGCGAGACTGGCGCGGTGGACGCTCGTGACAGGCGGAAACCGCCCGCGAGCGAGACTGGCGCGGTGGCTCGTGACACGCGGAAACCGCCCGCGAGCGAGACTGCCGCGGTGGACGCTCATGACATGCGGAAACCGCCCGCGAGCGAGACTGGCGCGGTGGACGCTCGTGACATGCGGAAACCGCCCGCGAGCGAGACTGGCGCGGTGGACGCTCGTGACATGCGGAAACCGCCCGCGAGCGAGACTGGCACGGTGGACGCTCGTGACATGCGGAAACGGTTTGCAAGCGAGACTGGCGCGGTGGACGCTCGTGACATGCGGAAACCGCCCGCGAGCGAGACTGGCGCGGCGGAGGCTCGTGACATGCGGAAACCGCACGCGAGCGAGACTGGCGCGGTGGACGCTCGTGACATGCGGAAACCGCCCGCGAGCGAGACTGGCGCGGTGGACGCTCGTGACAGGCGGAAACCGCCCGCGAGCGAGACTGGCGCGGTGGACGCTCGTGACACGCGGAAACCGCAAGCGAGACGCGGTGGACGAAACCGTGACATGACGGAAACCGCCCGCGAGCGAGACTGGCGCGGTGGACATGCGGAAACCGCTCGCGAGCGAGACTGGCGTGGTGGACGCTCGTGACATGCCGGCGAGCGAGACTGGCGCGGTGGAGGTGGACGCTCATGACATGCGGCAACCGCCACGTGCGCGGCTCCATGTGAACAGCCCGGCGCTCCAGGTACGCCATAATTGTCCTTTTTGCCGCACACCTGACCCGAACAAACGGTGCCAATGTGTTTCTAGGACGGACCCTCTCTTCAGAAGCTGTAGCCTCTTGGGGTTCGCCCTACTTATTTGGAAGCAGCCTGGAAGCACGTTGACATGAATATGCTGAGCACACTCGGCCCAAACAAAAGGGCGCATGAACATCCGAACAGCTGACCCCGGTCTACGCAGATCGTGGTAACACTGTGTCTCAGACTTGTTTCGCCCACCAAGTGACCGAGGCTTGTCCACACCGAGCCCCCCGCAAAAGCGCAGCGCCGGCCCCGTCTCCACACACTTGCGGCGAATCCACCCAACTTGCCATCCACACGCATCCACTTGACAACGTGTGCGGCCCATTCCACAAAGTCACCAGTTGCAATTGGTTGCGAATGGGAAAATAGGTGGAGAAACGAACGAATCCAAGCAAGCTTACAAAGCAAGTTTGTGAAGGCCACGTGCACGGCTCCATGTGAACAGCCCGGCGTTCCAGGCACGCCAAAATTGTCCTTTTTGCCGCACACCTGACCCGAACAAATAGCGCCAATGTGTTTCTAGGACGAACCCTCTCTTCAGAGTCTGTGGCCTCTTGGGACTCGCCCTACTTATTTGGAAGCAGCCTGGAAGCACGTTGACATGAATATGCTGAGCACACTCGGCCCCATGCAACATAAGGGCGCATGAACATCCGAACAGCTGACCCCGGTCTACTCAGATCGTGTTGTAACACTGTGTCTCAGACTTGTTTCAGATGGGTGTAGAGCGAGCTTATGCCTTGCTTCCAATTTGGGAGTGGTAGTTTGTGCGGATCCATTTTCGGATTTCTGCGATTGGTTCTTCATGATGAATCGGATGACTTCGTGCCTTCCATGTAGTGCGGGGCCTGTCATGTTTCACCCGTGCCTTTGCCTTTTTCTCTGTGCTTGGTCAGAGCGCAGGCTGCTGGCTGCCAATCCGGCTTGAGTCGCGGTTGCTCCCCTTCTTCATCTGTTTTGGGGTTGATGTCCCAACTGTGAACAACTTAAATCTTGGTTTGCCTTCAGCTGTTCATGGGACATTTGTGCGCCAAGGCAAGAGCCGATGTGGCACAAATGCAGGCGGGCAGTAGCCAGGCTCCATAAGAACCCTTTGTCCTGGCGCCGACATGTTTGCTTGAGTGCTGTGGTTGTTTTGTGACTTCTTTAAACATATGCTCAAACGACAGTCGCTCAGCTTGACTCGTGCACCCCTGCGCAGCAAGCCATTCGAGCTGGCTTGCAATCCGCCCTTGCGGATTTCTGGACCTTGACAAAGCATCAGCTTGCCTGCTTGAGTGAGCAGCTTGTTCTGCCGGTGTTGCTGAGTATTTGCCTCGGCTTTCTTGATAGCAGGTCTCTCATCCCAAGTTGTCAAGGTCAAGACATGTGACGCGAGCTGTGATCACATTGAAAACGTGAAGCTGGCAGGAAAACCTCGCAGCTGCCAAGCGGCGAGGCCTTGGGGGAGCGTTGGATGGGCGACGTCGGCGAGGCTCCACGGGTCCCCGAAATCTGGAGTACATGTTGGTGAAGGACAGGCTGAGGTGGATGGACAAAATCCTGCACCAGTTGGTAGGTGGTTTATCCCGCTATTCACAATCATAGGGCTTCATCCATCCCAACCGCTGCAGGATTTCGTCCATCCACAGTAAGGAGAGTGATGTTTCGAAAGAGGACGCAAGAAAAGTTGACAGAGTGAGAGAAGGCTTCTCAGCAGCATCGTGCCAAGGAGCGTGCTTTTCATTCTCCAACATGCGTAGGTTTGGGGCCAGCTGAAGTGGGCCTTGGATGCCAGCCCAGATGAGGCTGGGTTCCGACCCTTCAAACCATGGCTGAGTTGGTCTCTGCAAGAGGGAAGGAGCCGGCCTCCAAAGAATTGCCTGACTTTTCTGAGATTCTCCACGTAATGTCGAGCAGTTCAGAGACAGAATGCAGGCACATGTTGCTTGTAAGCAACTCACTAAGTCATCCATGCAGACAACTTGTAGCTGATCCTCAAGTCTTGGTGTTAAATCCATGAGGCGCCATTTTGTTGGGTTCTCGGGCTCTCGGTTTCTATCCACTAGGTGGATTTCACTTGGTTCGAGCAGGCAACATTCAAGGACAGTTGGACAACGGCGCCACAGCTACACTGTCTTATCGCCGCACCTAGGTCCAGATCATCGATGGTTTGGATATCGCGATGCAGGCCGGTTGCTATTGCCGCAAACCATTTGTATGGAGAGACTAGTTGAGACTGAGTGTGTGTGTACGCAGGTGAGGCAACAGCATGGGCAACGTTTTGCTAGATACCATGATACCTCCTGTACTGTACAGCGTGTGCACACATCATGAATTGAAACAGTGACGGCACAGGGTGTGGTGTGCTGGGACATTCAAACTCACAGTCATTTGAGCTGCTGGAATTTGACTCTCGAACTGCGCTGTGCGTCAGGAAGACGGCAACGTGTGCATCACCTTCGCCCTGGATGCATTTGAGTGCGAGCTCGCTTCTCAAAGAAGGCTGAGGCCTGTGATGCAGCTCCCATGCAGACTTGAATCTATGAGCTGAACACATTTACACACTGGCATTTTCGACTGATTTGGCTTTCAGGGCCATGGGACGCATTTAGATTGTTTGTAGATTTGGAAATGATGGCCTAGCAGATCACGCGACTTCATTTGCATCTTGAATTTCTGAGTACTATCATGATGACCTACACATTTGCCGATGACGAGCCTTTGAATCCCAGTTACTCAGACGTGACTGTGCTGTCGTTGCTGCTGCTGCGCTGGCGGTGAGGTACAGGTGGTGAAGGTCACGGTGATGGTTTCGTCGTTTCATCGTTTCATCATTTTCTAGTTTCATCATTCTCTAGTTTTTATCATTTCATCATTTCATCAGCATGTCGGCATTTTGGCACTTCGGCATTTCATCATTTCATTATACATCCTCCTCCTTCTCCTCATCATCATCAGCATCATCATCATCAGCATCAGCATCATCATCATCATCATCATCAGCAGCAGCAGCAGCATCAGCATCAGCATCAGCATCATCATCATCATCATCATCATCATCATGATCATCATCATCATCATGATCATCATGATCATCATCATCATCATCATTATCATCATCATCATCATCATCATCATCATCATCATCATCATCATCATCATAGCATCATGTTGTCATTTCATTATGTCATTTCATTATGTCAGCAGTTCATCGATGACATGATGAAAGAGATGATGAAATGATGAACCAATGAACATTATGATGGATTGGATGATGATGCCAGTGATGATGATGATGATGATGATGATGATGATGATGATGATGATGATGATGATGCTGGTGGTGCTGGTGGTGCTGGTGGTGCTGGTGGTGCTGCTGGTGGTGGTGGTGGTGGTGCTGCTGCCGCTGGTGATGGTGATGGTCATGGTGATGATGCTGATGAGGATGAGGATGACGACGACTCGACAACGATGGTGGGCTGGTGCTGGCAGTGGCACCCACGGAACTCACACGGCCACCTGAGGTTCGGGGTCGGAGCTGCAGCTTTCCTTCTGAGTGCTGCTGGCTTAACCTGTAGCCTCACCAGTTTTGTGGCAGATGATTGGAGCATTACACATCTTTTTGCTCTGGCCTCTGTTTGCACTGGCTACTGCTTGCAGTTGCTCCTTTGCGTCTAGTGTGCTCAGGTGGTTGACAACGTCATTGTGACAGGTCCGCACCCTCAAGAGGATCTCGAACTTGTGCCGTTGCCTGAAGAAAAGTGTGTTTGGCACATTGCTTCAGCAATGCCACTTGCAGTTGTGCAGATTCTAGCCGCATGACCCTTGAACACCTTTTACAATCACTGCTCCGAAATTGATATCGCAGATTTCAATGCGCATATCGTCATTCCTGTCTGCAGCTTCTGAGCAGAGAGGCATCATATTACTATCATGCTTGCATGTCGATCGACTGCATTCACCACGGCTGTTACAAGCAGCGACTCCCAAAAGAGAGCCATTCGATTTATAGATTTTGCAGAAGGCTACAGCAGTAAATGTAAGCCCAGTTCGAGCAGCTCTAGCTTCCATGTCAAACGCTGTCCACGAGATCCAGCCGACACCAACCAGTCACTACAAACCAACGCCCCATGACACCAGCACAGGGTACGTCAAAAGCAGGGCTGTGCATGGCCTGTGAAGCCTTTCCAGCAGCAGGCCGACGGGAGAAGGATTCGACGCGTTTTGCTGAAGCTTGCTATGCCTTTCCGAATTTCCTGCTTGATGGTTGCCCGAAGTTTGCGGGAGCTTGCAACATATTGTGACAGTTGCTCGCTCACTGAAACGGGTGCTTTCGATGACATGCGGACTTACCCGCATGAGAGCAATGAATCAAAGGGCAGCGAGTCAGCTGTTTGCGAGCGAAATCGGCTGAGGTCATGGCGAGGCTGGGACTCATGTGGACTCATGTAGGTATAGCTGGGACTCATGTGGGTATGGGTCAAAATTAAACCACCAGGGGACCGCAGGTTTTAGTCCATGTTGCCATGTACCAGGGTTCCATTTTGGGTACCTATTATTGATCCACAGCCATGTGATCTCATGAATTCTCATGTGATCTCATGTGAGGTAATATGAGAGATTGAATCAGAGTTCCTGTGGTTGTACAGTAACGAGCGCCATCTTGTCTAGCAATTGCCTTGTCCCCGACAGATCCTTTTCCAAGTTTTGGGGGCCAATTCGGCAGGTGAGATGGACATCCAACTGCACCGCCTTGACTTGCTGCAATGCGGGGTCCAGCGCCCAGCTGCAACTGACATCAGATCTCTCCAAAAGTTCTGCCTCAGGCGCTCCAGCCTGGCACTCTGGAGGTCTTGCCTGCGCGGACCTTGGAAATCTGGGGCAACTGGAGGCGAGACGCGAGTGACATTCCTTCAGGTCGGCAAGAAGAAGCAGCAGAAAGTAGCAGTGGGCATCCTTCTCAGAGTAGATTTAGAACTGACATGTGCCGCGTCTCACGTTGCAACTGATAGTCAACTTGCTCCATTTTACAGCACCGCACATGCGGCAGAAGTGGGCAGATGCGATGGGACTCCTGCGCCTGCTAGAGGACAAAGCGATCGATGTCGTGCTTTGCTTAGGTGATGACTCTGGTGTGCTGCAGGTCTTCTACCTCAAAAAGGGAGAGGCTAGAAGCCTCTCGCCATACCTGAAAGATGTGCAGTGCAATTTGCAGTTCTAGCCAGTGATCAAGCTGGATGAAAGGCAACCACCCATACAAGTGACAAGAAGAGCAGCACCATGCCTCCTGCATGATCATGCCCCAAACGCCACTGCTCCCAAAATTGTGTTAAACATTGGGATGAGGTTTGTTGGACATATTACGCCATGTTCTTCGCGACGAGCTCATTTGGCTTGTGGTTGCCGCAACGGGAAATGACAGGTGCAATTTGAGTGGAAGTCTGCCAGAGGCTTACTCTAAGTTTTGCACAGCGCGGCTATGTCCACACGCAGAGCCGGGAACGCGTAGCTGCCGCACTAAGCCGCCGCTGGGGCGAGAGATCAGCTCCGTGGTGATGCAAATGGCGAAGGACCACGAGCTGCTTCAAGTCACATGCCGTCAGCTTTTTTTTTGTTTAAGCCCGCAATTCTTCCGGGCTAATACTTAGGTGAATTATGTGAATATTATTTGCATGATAAGAGTTCGTTTGGGTGTTTTTCACGTTCCAATCAGGCACATTTTGTTTTGTACTTCTTGATCTCGGTGTGCTGTGTCAGGACAAGATCTTCGTTGGATGTGGGCAGTCCATTCATGGCTTCACTCGCAAGGGAAAAGAGTTTGTCAGCCTCTCAGAGCGGCTTGGGATTGAGCAAAAACCATTTGTACACATGTGCCAACATTTTCCCACAAAGAAAGCAACGTTGATTCCGACGACATGGGCGGCAGCTTCGACGTTTTTGTGTTTCTGGCCACTGGTTAAGGAAGGACTCGGAGCTGAGAAGCTCAAGGGGTGATTTGGCACCAGGGCTTCGAATCTGCGACCTCTGGTCCAGACAATATGGCTCTGACTTTTCATGAGGACCCCCTCCCAAATGGTTGGCGGACAGAAATCCCCACCTAAATGATGTCCACCAGAGGGCCCCTCAATAAGATTCACACCATGAGTAGCTTTGCTTCGGAGGCAGTGCCCAGGTCAAGATCAAGACTAACTTGACAGAGACCATCAATCATCTCTTCGTAGAAGAGAACATGATTTGGACTGGGGGCCGCGGCCGCAGTTGCAAGTGCTGCTGCGTTTTCCGGCAGTCTTTTGGCTTGCAGGGCAACTGATACTTAGTTACTCAGGAGTGTTCAGGACATGTCAGCCCCATGTTTGTGAGCTTGGGGCTTTGCCCTCGCATGTACGAAGCTAAGGCGAATACATCCTTAACATTTACGATAATTGCAAGGACTTCGGCCAGACCGGCATGTTTGCAGCAGGTTGCTTCTTACCAGCCAACAATGGACGGGGGCAGAGACCCATTTTGATCCTTTTGCCTGGCAATAGAAGAACCTGATTTGAGTGGCCTGACTTAGGCGTTCAATTCAAGAGTTTCTCCTAGCGGGGGTTGGCTACTTCCTGTGTGCAGGCTTTGTGATGACGAAGGACCGAATCAATGCCGCAGCCCCAACTGACAGGAGTGCAACGTGCATGCGGCAACACTGGCTGACAGAACAACCGCTGCGACCTTGTTGTAGCATTTACATCAGTCGGAATGCATGCGTACCGTAGTGTAGAATGTATGCATATGTATTATATGGTTGCATTCTATTTATAGTGTTTGTTAGCAAGCTTGCTTGCTTGCTTGCTTGCTGCGATTTGATTTGATTTGAATTGATTTTGATTTGATTTGATTCTATTTGATTGATTTGACTTCATGGAGATTGATTGGAGTTAATTGGTTGATTGAATGATTGGTTGATTTATTTCTTTTGATTTGATTCGCTTGCTTCCTTGCATGCTCCTATTTTTCTTCCTTCCTTCCTTCCTGCCTGCCTGTCTTCCTTCCTCGCATGCGCGCAGTGTTTCTTCCTCCGATGTTAATGCGCTTCATTGAGCCAAGGACCTTACCTGCGCGCCTGTGCATCCCGGAGAAATTCTCAGCACAATCATTGCGTGCCAGGACGGGATCTCACCGCTTAACCACTTTTGGATTCGCAGCTCTGCCGAAAAAGAACTCTTTTGTTAGAACCCATTTCGCTGTTTTGCGTGGCACTAAATGGCCCGCCCTTGCAGCGAAGGCCTTCTGGGTTGCTGCTTTGGCTCTTTGCTTTTATTTGAATCATGTTCTGGCATCGGCCTTGTCTTGCTATGCGAGCGTGGACACCTTCCAGACGATTTGAGGCAGCCAGTGCTGGTCCTTTCAACAGCATCATCTTTGGTCCACTCCAAAGACTTTCATTGACCCCAACAGATATCTTTGTGCCGCTGAAGCAGCGCCCCAGACCCCCATGGGCCATTTTAGTTCAAGCATCCTTTGGCTCACGCATTGACTGTAGGTTCCACCAACATGGTTATCACGGTTTATATAGGTCTTATTATAACCAGCATGAGGCCAGGTAGTAGGATCGTCTCTTTCCAAGGGACGTGACACTTTGCAGGACAAATGCTTGAGGGTCTTTCAGGGAGAGAAGCTGTACCACGAGTTTGCTGCCTCGCCCTCACTGGTAGCAGACAGTCGTGGAAGGGGCAGCAGCTCACTAAGGGCAGGTCACCATGCAGAAAGTTTATTTTGTCGTGAATGATGGCCCTTCAGACAAGATGCCTCGAACTGAAATCTTCAGACAATAGGTTACGATGATCGGCGTGGTCAATGCGCAAACACTGAGGACTTTTGCTACTTTTTGATTTGCCCGAGTGGCCCTTTTCAGGGATTGGCGTGGTCAAGGTGCAAAAACTGAGGACTCTTGCTACTTATTTGCCCGAGGGGCCCTGTGTAGGTATTGGCGTGGTTAATGTGTGATTTGCCCGAGTGGCCCTTTGCAGGGATTGGCGTGGTCAATGTGCAACAACTGTACGATTTTGTGCTCTCGGATGAGCAACTTGCAACAACAATTTCACGGAGCCCTGCGCCGAGAAACTTGCCGGGGGCACTTTCGCAGCAGACTTGCGCAGAGCGCTTGCGCAGCGCAACTTGCGTAGAGAAGTTGCGCAAAGCAACCTGCGCAGATCAACTGGTGCAGAGCAACTTGCGAAGAGAGCTTGCGCAGAGCAACTGGCGCAGCAACTTGCGCAGAGCGCTTGTGCAGAGCAACTTGCGCATCAGACTTGCGCAGAGCGCTCGCGCAGCGCAACTTGCGCAGAGCACTTACGCAAAGCAAGAGAGAAAGTTGCGCAGGGCAACTTGCACAGAGCGCTTGCGCAGACCAACTGGCGCGGGGGACTTGCGCAGAGCAAGTTGCGCAGCGCAATTTGCGCGCAGAGACCTGTGCAGAGTGCTTGCGCGAAGCAGCTTGCGCTTGCGCGAGCAGGCCCACGCGAGCACACTTGTGTGTGCGCGCTTGCAACGCTTGCGTAAGAGCATGAGCACGAGACTAACAGGGCTCCAGATGATGCGCGTAACCAAGACCGCGCTTGACATCGCCTGCTGCGCTCGCCTCGTGTTTTGCTTTCGGGCTACCCGTTCTTCTAGTTGTTGTTCGTGGCCGTCCTTGTTTCCCAGAAGAAGGCCAGAGAAGAAGACATTTCTTCAAGGTTCCAGATTATCAGACGGGGGCAGGGTGATTGCAGGCGTCGGACATGGGATGCGTGTGGTTGCGTTGGCGGAGTTAGACGGGTCGCATTTCTTCCAAGACCTGGGCGGACGCATGACACGGCTGAAGTGAGGTCGAAGGCTCTGCTTCTGCGCTGGGCTTTCACGGGGGAAACCCGGTGGACAATCCTTCGCGGGGCTGCCAAGCTGTGGGAGGAGGGCGGGGCAGACGAGGTGTTTTTTTGTTCGGTGAAATCGGGCTACGCGTGTGTGCAGTCATATTACACCTCCGAATGCTTTGTTGTGTTGGTCTTGTTAGACTAACATAGGCGCTGTTGTTGCAGTTGTTCCTCTTGTGGTTGTTGTGCCTATTGTGCTTGTTGTGGTTGTTGTCGTTGTTGTTGTTGTTGTTGTTGTTGTTGTTGTGGTTGTTGTGGTTGTGGTTGTGGTTGTGGTTGTGGTTGTGGTTGTTGGTTGTTGGTTGTTGGTTGTTGGTTGTTGGTTGTTGGTTGTTGGTTGTTGGTTGTTTGGTTGTGGTTGTTGTTTTTGTTGGTTGTTGGTTGTTGGTTGTTGGTTGTTGGTTGTTGGTTGTTGTTGGTTGTTGTTGGTTGTTGTTGGTTGTTGTTGGTTGTTGTTTGTTGTTGGTTGTTGTCGGTTGTTGTTGGTTGTTGTTGGTTGTTGTTGGTTGTTGTTGGTTGTTGTTGGTTGTTGTTGGTTGTTGTTGGTTGTTGTTGGTTGCTGTTGTTGCTGTTGGTTGTTGGTTGGTTGGTTTGTTGGTTTGTTGGTTGGTTGGTTTGTTGGTTGTTGTTGGTTGTTGTTGGTTGTTGTTGGTTGTTGTTGGTTGTTGTTGGTTGTTGTTGGTTGTTGTTGGTTGTTGTTGTTGTTGTTGGTTGTTGTTGGTTGTTGTTGGTTGTTGTTGGTTGTTGTTGGTTGTTGTTGGTTGTTGTTGGTTGTTGTTGGTTGTTGTTGGTTGTTGTTGGTTGTTGTTGGTTGTTGTTGTTGTTGTTGGGTGTTGTTGTTGGTGTTGGTTGTTGTTGGTTGTTGTTGGTTGTTGTTGGTTGTTGTTGGTTGTTGTTGGTTGCTGTTGGTTGTTGTTGG